CATTAACAGAAATTAGATTTCATAAAATCACATAAAAATTCTAACTCAAATATACGCATAGCACTTATTAATTATGTCTAAACTCATGCTTAAGCTATTAGCAATGCCAAGTACCACAATTTGTTTTCCAAACTTAAGATTTATGCAGGCAACCACTAAACAACTTCCAATACAGAGCCCTTAAAACTGAATTTACGGCTTTAAAAACACACCAACTCAACAAGGATAATGCTAAATGAATCTCAGCAACAAAATACTCAAAGAGGTACAACAACAACGCACGGCAAACATGGATCAAACATAAAATAATATGCCATCATTCTTATTTATTTATTTTTCTTAATTTCACACCACTAGTTAAAGGTTTTATAAAATGAACTTAGACTCTGAAACATAAGCATTTTAAGCACAATCATTATAGCAATTAAGTTCAGCTGAACCACCACATGATAAGTCCAAACATAACACAAAATCACATTAAAATCACAAGGTCATTTGGGCTGTTACAAAAATTCTAAATAATATTCATTAATTTTCAGTATAAAAATCACATTAAAATCACAACAACAAAACAGGACTGAAAGGCTATCATTAAAGCATACAATCACAACATATCTTGCTTTCATTTCTTCTTCTATTCACTAAGTCAAAGCATGCCCATTTTATCTTTTAAAAACTGATTCTTAAACATCATTTCGATCACAAAGAAAGGATTAAAAGGCTCAGCCCATTACCTCGAAAAAGACGTAAGGACAAAGGGTGAAAAAGAGGCTCGAATGGGCTAGGTCTCCGCTTCGATTGATGGCAACGAGCTATCAACTTTTGGCTGGAAAAATCTCGACCTTAGGACCTTCTGAAATGCTCGAAATGGTTCGAAACTTACAGCTCTCAATCCTCCTCTATTCAGGTTACCCGGTGCTAGCTCTCGGTTGTGGAAAAGCTGTTGGGAAGATATGACTTGGTCCAAGACTTGTTCTTTGCATGCATGGACGCTGGCGGTTTGAGGCGAGGGCTGACCGAGAATAATGGTAATTGGAGGGGTAAAGACTTGGTCCAAGGAGCTTTTAAAATTTAAATGTTAACTTGTGCCAAGCGTGGATCACATAGGGCCGAGACTTAGGTGATTTTATTTAGGCACTACCACTTAGGCTAAAATTAATTAGGCTTTTTATTTAGGCACTACCACTTAGGCTAAAATTAATTAGGCTCCCAAATAGAACTTAGGCTGGAAAAACGATTTGGCCAAACTTAGCTTAATTCACAAAAATCTTAGGCATGCTTTAATTTTAATAGTAACCTTATAATAAAAATAGAATAAAAGAGAACCTAAGCAATTAATGACATTAAATAACATATAAGCAATTAAATAAACAAATAAGCACTTAAGAAATTTAAGTAGACGAGGACATCTAATTAATTCGAGTATTGGATTAAACGATTAAATTAATAGGTCGAGCTAAAAAAATGCAATGCAAATGATCTCATACTCTTATTCATAAAACGGGGCGTTACAAAAAATAATTTAAAATTTAATTCATGCATACTTATTTTATCAAAATATAAACAACAAGTGTACATTGCACATGTCATCATAATTTAAACAACGCGTTTAAACAACATATAAGCAACTTTAATAATACAATCCCACAAACCTCATTTCTCTATTCTCAATGTCCCACATCACCAAAAATCTTATTTTTGCTCCTACACACATAAACCTCTGATAACAATAAACTTCACAAGCTTTCTTTTATGGTCCCACATTTTTCACACTTATTTTAAAATAATATTACTCTTATAGTTTTATTAATATTTTAAACTAAAGGAAAATGCTAAGGTCCCGTTATGGAATCATTCCATCGGGATTTGTAACCGTTAGATCATCATGTTGTTGGAACCCACGAGGATCTCGATATGCACAAATCACAGACAAACATTCAACATAAACCTATGCGCAGCGGATCTAAAGGTTTGATGAAGAAAA